TTCTGAGCATCCAGGTGTGGCTTCTCTTTGATCCCTCCCTGCACAGCTTCACAGCCAACATCACTCCAAAGGTGTCCAGCAGGACCTGAACTGGCCCAGGCTCCTGCCCAGCCCCCTGGAAACCTGGGGATTCCGGGACAAAAGTGCCAGCCCATGGTCAGAGATGTTTTGCTGCTAAGGGCAGGCAATGGGGTGCCAGCATTCCCCACTGGGATGGGAATGGAAGCTCCATCCCACCCACTCCCACCGTCAGGAGGGATCATCATCTCCAGGCACTTGGGCTGAGAATTCCCCATGTGAAGCAAAACCTGTTTTCTGTGTCATTCTTCACATCCACCTGAAATATTCCCACACCAGCCAACATCCTTGGGGCCTTTTCCTCCCTTCCCAGGAAATGATGAGTTTGGGACAATATTTTTTGCCACAGAATCATAGAATCAGACAGGTTGGAAAAGACCTCCCAGATCAAGTCCAACCCTTGATCCAACCCCGCCGTGGTTCCCAGCCCATGGCACTGATGCCACATCCAGTCTGTCCTTAAACACCTCCAGGGACGGAGAATCCACCCCCTCCCTGGGCAGCCCATTCCAATGGCTGATCAGCCTCTCTGGAAAGAATTTCTTCCCAATATCCAACCTAAACCTCCCCTGGCACAGCTGAAGACCCAGCCCTCTTGTCTTGCTGATGGTTCCTGGCAGAAGAACCTGACCCCCCCCGGCTCCCCCCTCCTGTCAGGGAGTTGCAGAGTCAGGAGGTCTCCCCTGAGCCTCCTCCTCTCCAGGCTGAGCCCCCCCAGCTCCCTCAGCCTCTCCTCACAGCACTTGTGCTCCAGTCCCTTCCCCAGCCTCGTTGCTCTTCTCTGGACCTGCTCCAGCCCCTCCATGTCCTTCCTGAGCTGAGGGCCCAGAGCTGGACACAGCACTCCAGGGGTGGCCTCACCAGCGCTCAGTCCAGGCCAACAATCACTTCCCTGCTCCTGCTGCCACACTCTTCCTGAGCCAGGCCAGGATCCATTGGCCCTCTTGTCCCCCTGGGCACACTCTGGCTCCTGTTCAGCTCCCTGTCCATCCCCACTCCCAGCTCCCTTCCTGCCTGGCTGCTCTCCAGCCCCTCTGGCCCAGCCTGGAGCTGCCGGGGGTTGTTGTGGCCAAAGGGCAGGACCCGGCCCTTGGCCTGGTTGAACCTCATCCATTGGAATCAGCCCCTGGATCCAGCCTGTCCAGGTCCCTCTGCAGAGCCCTCCTGCCTTCCAGCACATCAACACACCCCCAGCCTGGTGTCAGCTGCACATTTGCTGATGGTGGACTCCATCCCCTCATCTAAATCATCAGTAAAGACATTAAACAGAACTGGGCCCAGCACTGATCCCTGGGGACACCACTGGTGACCAGATCTCAACTGGATGCAGCTCCATCCCCACCACTCTCTGGCCCTCCAGCCAGTCCCTGACCCAGCACAGGGTGCCCCTGTTCAAGCCTTTTCCAGGAGTGTGCCATGGGAGATGGTGTCCAAGGCTTTGCTGAAGTCCAGGCAGACACATCCACACCTTCCCCTCACCTCGTCATAAAAGAAGACCAGGTTGGTCAGACAGGACCTGCCCCTCCTAAACCCATCCTTCCCTCTCCCTGAGATCCTGGAGCTGCTCCTGGGCAGCTGCTGAGCATCCCCTGGGCTCGGGCACAGGAGCTCTGCTGCCTGCCTGGACAGGGATCCACCAGGACCAACCCTGCCTCCTCCAGGGGAGAGCTCTGGGCTCTCCAGATTTTATCCTGTGCCTAATTGTTGCCATCTGCTGTTCCAGGCTCCGGGGGCTGCTCGGGCTGTCTGCTGGCTGTCGGTCTCTGGTTATCCCAGCCCCGCTGGATTTCCCTTCCATGTGGACTCCTGGCTCATTCTCCTGGATGCTGCTCTCATTCCCTTCTGATCTGGGGCAGCTCTTTCCTTCCTGGCTTGCAACGCTCATTTAACTCGATGTTACATTTACACCCTGGGAAATCTTTCCCATTTTTCGTGGTGTTCATCATCTCTTAAGAACCCCAACATTTCGGGAGGCCTCGTGCTGTGCTGCAGTTTTTCCCAGCACAGATTCTGTCACACTTAGAATGAAACAAGCAGGAGGAACCCTCCATATAGAGAGAGCCAAGAGCATTAAATGACCCAAACCCACCTCCCAGATGAGCTCATGACCCATCCACCACTCAGAAGCTGAAGAAGCAAATCCTTATGGTTAAATGAATCCTTAACATCACTGTAACATCACCCAGGCCCTAAACCCCTCGGAGCCCTCCTGCTTTGTGTGCCCTGGGGGAGGGAATGTGTTTGGCAAAGCTGTGGTGTGGCCGTGGTGGGTGCCCCACTGTCCCCAGGCTCCAGGTTCTGGCTCTGGCAGATGATGTTTGGGGTGAGTGTGTTCTGCCCCCTGCCACCCCCAGCACCCCGAGTCGCTGTGGCACAGGGGACAATCCCTGCCTTGATCATGGATGTGCCCATGGAGGGGTCTGACCCCAAACTGAACCCTTGGTCCCTTTGGTTTCTCCGTCCCCAGGGTGGTTCACACCTTTCTCTGCCCTTTCAGCATCCTCCTTCCTTCCTCCAGGGCTTTGATATTCCTAAGGAATTTGACCAGGGAACACACATCCCTACATGCCATGTCCTCCCTCCACCTCTCCCAGCACCTTCCACCACAGCCCATCTCTGGGAGGGATTAAGGGTTATTTCTGCCCTTCCCTCCTACATCCCATTAGGGGCATTAGAGCAGGAGCCAGCGGCCCCAAAGACCTTCCATGTGACTCCAGGAGCTTTTCCAGGCTGAGACCACGTTAAGGCCCCAGAAACTGCTCGTGCTTGGAGGGGTTCACTGGGTTTGTCCAGCACTGTTTGCCCAGGTAGGGTTGGATTTGCCTGTGGGACCAGGGTGAGGTTGGATTTCCCTGTGGGACCAGGTAGGGTTGGATTTGCCTGTGGGACCAGGGTGAGGTTGGATTTCCCTGTGGGACCAGGTTGACTTGGATTTGCCTGTGGCACCGGGAGGACGTGTTAGTGCCCAGCACAGGGCAGGTGTTGGCACTTGGATCTTGTCCCCAGGGAGCCCAGGGAGGTGGGACAGCCTGAGGGGCTCCCTGGGACAGTGATGCTGCATCCCAGGAGTGCTCAGGATCCCCCAGCCCTGGGACAGTCCCCTCGGGGCTCCCAGCAGGAGGGTCCTGATCCCCTGTGCAGCTTTTCCGAGCAGGGTGAGGTGCAGATGTCACCCACCCCTGGCATCCCTGCGAGCGGGAAGGACACGGCCGGGATCCAGCCTGGTCCTGGAAGCTGATTATTCCTGATTTTCCAGCACTGGAGCCACTGGGACTGCCGGGAAGGAGCTTTGATCCAGCCTGAGGGGCTCCTGCCTCGCTGGGATGTGCAAAGAGTCATGTGTGTGTGTGTGCGTGTGTGTGCACACCTGTGTGTGTGTGTACATGTGTGTGTGTGTGTACATGTGTGTGTGTGTGCACACGTGTGTGTGTGTATCCAGGCGTGTCCCTGTGTGCCTGCACACTTGGCTTTCTGAGTGTGTGTGAAGAAGGAATCAGGGAATCCTTTAGGTTGGAAAAGCCCTCCAGGATCAGCGAGTCCCAGCACTGCCAAGGCCACCCCTGCCCCCTGTCCCCAAGTGCCACATCCACACGTGTGTTAAATCCCTCTGGGGTTGGGGAGTCCAGCACTGCCCTGGGCAGCAATCACACGTGTGTGCTGCAATGCACCACACGTACATGCATGTGCCATGGGACACCACATGAGCACACACGTGTGTGCCAGAGGGTGCCAGGCAATCACACACATGTCCTACAATGCACCACACACGTACATATATGTGCCATGGGACACCACACAAGCACACACATGTGTGCCAGAGGGTGCCAAGCATGCACATACGTGTGCTACATGCCTGCACATGTGCCAGAGGCTGCCACACGAGCACAGTGATGTGTCAGGGGGTGTCATGCATTCACACACGTGCACACGTGTGTGCCAGAGGATGCCGAGCAATCACACACATGTGTTACAATGCACCACACATGTACATACGTGTGCCAAGGGACACCGCACATGTGTTCCAGGGAGTGCCAAGTGTGCACATACGTGTGCCAGGGGACACCATGCACACACACTCATGTCTCGGGGGTGCCAAGCAGGCACATACATGTGTTACAATGCACCACACATGTACATACGTGTGTTACAGGGCACCACACATGCACATACAGGTGCCAGTTTTGCCAAGCGTGCACATACATGTGCTATGGGACACCCCACATGCCATGTGTGTGCCAGGAGGTGCCACACATGCGCATACATGCGCCAGGGGACACCATGCACGCACACTCATGTCTCATACATGTGTGATAGTACACCACACATGCACATACGTGTGCCAGGGGACACCATGCACGCACACTCGTGTCTCATACGTGTGTGATAGTACACCACACACACACATACGTGTGCCAGGGGATACCATGAATGCACACTCATGTCTCATACGTGTATTACAGTGCACCACACATGCACACACACGTGCCAGAGGGTGCCCAGCATCCACACACATGTGCCATGGGACATCACACGTGCACATACATGTGCCAGAGGGCCCCCCCATGCACAGCCTGGGACTCAGCTCCAGCTGCACACACATGAACAGTCACACACAGCAACCAGGCCGGGGTGGTACATGCAAACACACACATGTGCCAACGCACACACATGTGCCAACGCACACACGTGTGGCTCCAGAGGGCTGTGGGCTGTGCAGGCGTGCAGGGAACATCCCACCTTTGCCACCTCTCCCAGGGCCACCAGCCCTGCCCTCGTCACCCCCAGCCCCTCTCTGTGCCTCAGTGTCCCCCCCAAGCAGGGTCCCACCCCCCGTGACACAGCTGCCCTGGCATTAATCACCTCCCAGTGATTAATCGTTTAATTACCTGCTGGGTTAATGGTTTATTTCTCCCCTCACACAGCCGGGTCACCGTCCCGCTCCCACGGCACCTGAGCCCCAGGACACCGAGGGGACCTGGGCTTGTCCTCCCTGGGATTCCCAGCGGGACACAGGTGGGTCATGGAGCCACAGCAGGACGAGCTGTCACTGCCACCAGCACCCGGCCTGGAGGGGGCAAGGTCTGGGGGTCCCTGTGCCCTAGGAGTGGGTGAAGGGGGTCTGGGGAGGATGGAGGGAACCCCTGTCCTGTGCCACCCCTGTGTCACCCCCACCCATCACAGCAAAAGCCCAAAATGCCTCCCAGAGCTGAGCAAACATCCCAGTGTGATCCCAGCAGCCTGGGCACCAGGGTGGCTCCACACCAGCGGGATTTGCCCAATGCCAGGGGCTTCCCAGGAGAGCCCCCACCCACCCAGGGGTCCCCAGAATTTGGCTGCCTGCCCTGGGTCAGCGAGGGCTGCTCCCCAAGGGACACAGTAGGGTCACTGCACTGGGGACACTGTGTCCTTGTCCCCTGGCAGTGCCCTCTCAGCCTCCCTCCGTGTCCCACCTCCATGTCTCCATCCCTGCTCTCCATCCATCCCTCTCTCCTCCTGCCTTCCCACCATCACAGCCCATCCTGGTGCAGCCACCCAGGGCAGAGGGTGCTGGGTGCTGTGGGTGCTCCCCGTGGGGACACAGCCTGTCCCACCCCCAGGTCGCTCCCCTCTCCCTCCTTCACCCCCCTTGGCCCCATTGCTGACCCCCTGCTCTGCCCCCCCAGGTCAGAGCCGGAGGGGACCCATCCAGGAGCAATCCCTGTGTCCCGTGGGGTCCCTCCCTGGGCCAGGGAGTGGAGCAGGACCCTGGGCACGGGGGACACGTGGCACCAGACCAGGCTGGAGGGTGCCCGGTAAGGCTGCTGGGGACCCCAGGGAACCCCTTCCTCCATGATGGGGTGACCAGCAGAGACCAGAGCACCCAAAAGTGCCAGGGTGGGGATGTGGAGTCCTGTGGGCAGGGTGGCCTCTGCCTTTGCCTTCTGGGGCCCACAGTGGGGGCAGAGGGGGTGCAGGGGCTCAGCCCTGCTCCCTGGGGCAGCAGAGCATCATGCCCAGAGCAGAGCCAGGTACTTTTCGCTCTCCGTGCTCAGGGGGCTGAAGGGAGGACATGGAGGGGCTGGAGCAGGGCCAGAGAAGGACAGCGAGGCTGGGGAAGGGACTGGAGCACAAGTGCTGTGAGGAGAGGCTGAGGGAGCTGGGGGGGCTCAGCCTGGAGAGGAGGAGGCTCAGGGGAGACCTCCTGACTCTGCAACTCCCTGACAGGAGGGGGGAGCCGGGGGGGGTCGGGCTCTGCTCCCAGGAACCAGCAGTAGGACAAGAGGGCACAGTCTTGGGCTGTGCCAGGGGAGGTTTAGGTTGGACATTGGGAAGTTCTTCACAGAGAGAGGGATCAGCCATTGGAATGGGCTGCCCAGGGAGGGGGTGGGGTCACTGTCCCTGGGGGTGTTTAAGGACAGACTGGATGTGGCATCAGTGCCATGGGCTGGGTGACAAGGTGGGGTTGGGTCACAGGTTGAACTCGATGATCTCAGAGGTCTTATCCAACCTGGTTAATTGTGTGATTCTGTGATTCTGTGATGTCTCTGCAGGGTTAACATGACCGAGGTGGAACCTGTGCTGGACTTCGCCTCCTCCGGCAGGACGGGCCGGCGCAATGCCCTGCCCGACATCCTGGGCTCGCCCGCCGGCGTCAGCCCCGCTGACCTGCCCCTCAAACTGGCTGAGATGTCCCTGAGTGCAGGTAGGCAACAAGGAGGAGGAGGAGGAGGAGGAGGATGGAGAGTGACATGGGGCAGGCAGGAACTGGGGTTCCCATGCTCATCCCATGTTCTGGCTCCTCACGACATGGAGGGGTTGGAGCACGTCCAGGGAAGAGAAGGGAGCTGGGGAAGGGGCTGGAGCAGCAGGAGCAGCTGAGGGAGCTGGGGGGGCTCAGCCTGGAGAAAAGGAGGCTCAGGGGGGACCTTCTGGCTCTGCAACCCCCTGACAGGAGGGGGGAGCCGGGGGGGGTCGGGCTCTGCTCCCAGGGAACAAGGGACAGGAGGAGAGGGAACGGCCTCAGGCTGTGCCAGGGGAGGGGCAGGTTGGACATCAGGAAGAATTTCTCCATGGAAAGGGTGGTCAGGCATTGGCAGGGGCTGCCCAGGGAGGTTTGGAGTGCCCAGCCCTGGAGGTGTCCCAGGAAGGCTTTGCCATGGCACTCAGTGCTCTGGGCTGGGGGACAAGGTGGGCATCGGGCACAGGGGGGATCCATGGGCTGGGAGGGCTTTTCCAACCTCAATGATCCTGAGATTCTGTTCTGTGATTCTGTTCTCTGACTCTATCCCACGACTCCGTCCCCTCCTCTCTCCCGCAGGCAGCGCCCAGGAGATGCAGTCTCCCTCGGCGGAGGTGCCCCCTCCGCAGCCGCCCAGCCCCGAGCTGAAGGACACGTCCTAACCCCGCCCCGGGGGGACTTTGCTGACCAGCGGAGGGAGGAGGGGGCTGCGGGGCACCAGCCCAGCTTTCCTGGCACGGCCGGAGTCCGCTGGGATTTCCTCGGTGCTGCCGCAGCCCAGACCCTCGAGTGCCACCCCCGCCACGGGGAGCGGCGGGCGCGGTGGGGACACGGGGGGGACCTGCCGTGACAAAGGGGCGATTCCCACCCACGCCCTGGGCCAGGACTCGGAGGGGGGAATTTTTTTTGCCCCTCCAGGGGGAGGAATCCAGGGCCCCCTCCGCAGCCGCCCAGCCCCGAGCTGAAGGACACGTCCTAACCCCGCCCCGGGGGGACTTTGCTGACCAGCGGAGGGAGGAGGGGGCTGCGGGGCACCAGCCCAGCTTTCCTGGCACGGCCGGAGTCCGCTGGGATTTCCTCGGTGCTGCCGCAGCCCAGACCCTCGAGTGCCACCCCCGCCACGGGGAGCGGCGGGCGCGGTGGGGACACGGGGGGGACCTGCCGTGACAAAGGGGCGATTCCCACCCACGCCCTGGGCCAGGACTCGGAGGGGGGAATTTTTTTTGCCCCTCCAGGGGGAGGAATATTTTTCTTCTGGGGCATTTGGCGGAGCCGAGCGCGGAGGGGTCCCCGGGGGGGCCCTCCCGGCCGCAGGAGCAGCCACGGTGTTTCTTGCTGAGTGTGGTGTTCACTGTGATGTTTTTGGGTACCACCTCGTCTCCTGGCTGTTCTTCTGGGGCGTGTGGGAGCCTTTCTCAACAACTGGGGGGAAAGGGGAGCACGACACAACCTCAACAGCCCCCCCGGCCCTTAAGCAAAGCCCCCCCTGCAGCCAGCACGTCACTGAGGGTTCCCACCCAGGGTGGCCTCTGCTCCTGGGTATGGGGAGATGGGTGATTCTGGGGGGTGGGGAGCAGGGCGATGCTGTTTGGAGCATGCCCAGCCCCCCATGCCGGGGGCACCCACGGGTCCCCACGCTGGGTCCCCTCCCGCAGCCCCGGGACTGGGGGAAGCAGCGGGGCCAGCGGGGTCCTGCGGCGTTCGGGGATGCGAGAGACACGGAGAGGGGCTTTCCCGGGCTCTCCCAAATCCTCTGCTTCTGCCAGCGGCGGGGACGGGACCCTCCTGCCCGGGCACCGAGGGGCTGAGGGAGGATTCACTGCCGGCTCTGCCCGGGCCAGGGGCTGGATGCCCGGGATGCCGGAGCCGGGCAGGGCGGTTGGACGTGGAGCTGGACCCATCCCATCCCGGATGGTCACCTATAGCTGTCGCTGTGGGACCGGCAAAGCGATCCCGAAGCCCACGTCCCCTCTCTCTGGTCACTGCCCCGGCGGTGGCCGGGACAGGGAGAGCTGAGCGGGGACACACCGCACCCAGCACCCCGGAGGGGCCGGGCAGCTCCCGCGCTCCCGGGCACTGTGTCCACCGCTCGGAGTGGGGACCAGTCCCGGGTGGAACAGAGTGTGGGGTGTGGGAGGACACCTGTGTGCTTGGACATCCATGTGCAGGGCCGTCCATGAGCAGGGCACATGTGTGCATGTACCTCCGTGTGCGTGGGCACCCATGAGCGTGGGCATCTGTGTACATGGGCATCCGTGTGTGTGGGCATGTGCAGAGCCATCCATGAGCAGAGCATAGGTGTGCAAGTGTCAGGGGGTCCACGGGCATGGGCACCCACCTACATGGGCATCCGTGTGCATGTATGGGTGTGCATCCCTGTGCATGTGCATCCATGTACGTGTGCATCTGTGTGCACGTGCGTGCTTATGTGTGGGCACCTGCGTGCAGGGATATCCACGTGCATGTGCATCCATGTGTGTGTGCATCCATGCACGTGGGCACCTGTGTGCGTGGGCATTTGTGTTCCTGGGCACCCATGTGCACGGGAATCCTTGTGCGTGGGCATCCTTGTGCATGAGCACACGTGTGCAGGGATGTCCATGTGTGTGGGCATCCGTGTCCATGGGCATTCATGGGAAAGAGCATCCATTTTCATGTGCCTCCATGTGCAGGAGCACCGGTGCACATGTGTGCGTACATGTATGTGTGTGTGTGGGCACCGTGTGCGTGGGCACGGGCTCCATTGCACAGGGGTGTCCGTGTGCACAGGTGCCTCCGTGCACGGAGCACCCACGTGTGTGGGCACCTTTGTGCATCCCCGTGGGAGGGTGCTGTGCCCGTGGGTGTGCTCTTCTGTGTGTGTCTGTGTGTCTGTGTGTGTGTGTCTGTGTGTGTGTCTGTGTGTCTGTGTCTGTGTCTGTGTGTCTGTGTCTGTGTCTGTGTGTCTGTGTGTGTGCTCCTCTGTGTGTCTGTGTGTGCTCCTGTGTGTGTCCATGTGCAGGGACAGGCGTGCCCATGGATGTCCATGTGCTCAGATGTCCCTACACATGGTCCCTGTGGGTGGGTGACCCTGTGGATTGGTGTTCCTTGTGGTCGGGTGACACTATGAGTGGGTATCCCTAGGGATGGGTGTTCCCTGTGAGTGGCTGTCCCTGTGGGTGGGTGACCCTGTGGGTGGGTGACCCTGTGGATCAGTGTTCCTGCGGGTGGGTGACCCTGTGGGTGTGGAATCCTACATGTGGATGACCCTGTGGATTGGTGTTCCCTGTGGATTGACGTCCCTGTGGACTGGTGTCCCTGTGGATTGGTGTTCCTCTGGGTGGGTGTCCCTGTGGATTGGTGACCCTGCACGTGGGCAGCTGTTCCTGTGAATGCTCCCATCTCATGGTCCCGTTGTTGTGGGAGCATCTGTGGGGACAGGGCTGTGCAAGTTTGGGACAGTGACACCCAGGTGAGAGGACAAGGGGACAGTCCTTGCCCTCTGTGTTCCCTCCCAGGCCATGGGGTGTGTGGGGGTGATGAGGGCTCTGGCTCCACAGGGAATAAATCATCTGTCTGACCTGGGAGAGCCGAGCCCAGGGGGTGTCCCAGACAGGGCAAGTGGACACCGTCCTGTGGGGACAGTGCCTCTCCCCCCCACGACACAAGGTGAGGGGTCAGTGACAGCTCCTGTCCCCCCCACGACACAAGGTGAGGGGTCAGTGACAGCTCCTGTCCCCCCCAGGGCACGAGGTGAGGGGTCGTGCTCAGTGGTAGCGTCAGCAGGAGGAAGCTGAACACGAGCTCTGGCTATTTTTGGGTGCCTGTGGTGACACACTGGGGCCAGACACAGGGAGAAAGTGTCCCCAGGTCACTCAGGGACTTGGTCACTCTGACCCCAGAGTCCCCAAGATGAGGGGACGCGCTGCAGCCACGGGGCTCAGGGACACCCGAACCCCCAGCTGGGTCCCTCTGGGGACAGGGGATGGGGGCAGGAGGTGGATCATCCCCAGGGACTGGGGGACACGGAATCCCATGGCCACGGGTGACCCCACACTCTGGGGATGCACTGACCCCGACCCCATTGCCGCTGGAGCCCAAAGTGAGGGGACACGTGGCAGGGTCCCAGAGCCCTGTGCCTGTCCATGTCCCCAGTGTCCCCCCGACACACAGAGCATCCCTGGGGACACACGTGTGTGTCCCCCCACACACAGGGGTCACGTATGTGCCCCCACACGCACATGGAGCAGGGACAGGCTCACGTGTGTGTCCCCCCACACAAGGAGCTGGGGGCTGAGGGGGGGTCACACATGTCCCCACACTCCCTCGGAGTCCCTAAATGTCCCCACACACCTCCTGGTGCTCCCCGTGCCTCCGTGTCCCCAGCCCAGCCTCCCTGTCCCCCGAAGGGCACTGTCCCTGCCAGTGTCCCCAATTCTGACCGTGTGCCACCGCCACGGGCAGCACCCGCCCCCTCCCCACGTCCCCTGCGGTGGGCACACACCCCGTGCCCAGCCCTGCCCTGCCTCAGTTCCCCACACCCCGCACCCCCGGCCCCGCCGAGCCCGGCACAGCTCATGACACAAGTGTCCCTCTCTCTGTCTCTGCCCCAGCCCGGGGGGGCCCGGCGGGGGTCGGTGGCCGGTGGCGGGTGGCCGAGTGGCCGTGCCGGGAGTGGCCGCTGCCAGCGCTGCCAGGGGGAGTATTTCTGGAGCGCTGTGCTCTTTCCAATCATGTGATGAGGACGTTATTTAAGGCGGCGGCGGGGCCGCAGCAGCTGCAGCCGGTGCCACGCTCGCAGCGCGCCCAACCTCCTGAGAGCCCCTCGCCATGGTGGAAGCCTTCGCGGGCACCTGGAAGCTGGTGGAGACCAACAATTTCGATGAGTACATGAAGGCTCTGGGTGAGCAGGGGGGGCTGAGCGGGGTTGGAGTCACATCATCACCTTTTTTTTTTTTACACACCCCTCTTCCCCACATTGCCCGGCGAAGCCCCCCACACGCGGGGATCTGGGGTGGAGGACTCGCAGGCGGCGGGGGGGTCGCTGCTGCCTGGGTGGGTGATTTTTTGGGAGGGGCTCTGTGGTTCTGTGTGCGGAGGTTTGGGCTGGGTGAGGGGGTCTCGGGCTGGGTGAGGTGGTCTCGTTCTTCCCCTGGGCAACCCGTGGCAGAGGGTGGAGGGATGAGATGCCTCCCCCCGGGTGCTGGGAGCCGCCCGGGACCCCCCAGCCCTTACTGGCCCCCAAGCCCCCCAGCACCCAGCCCCAGCCCCGGCGCAGGGTGCTCCCCCACACCGGAGCAGCGCAGGGAGGGGGCACAGGCACCAGTGCCCCCCTTACCCAGCCCGGGAGCTGGTGGGTGCCGGTGCAGGATCCATCCCTTAGCAACGACAGCATTCCCTGGACGCCCCTTTGTGCCCCAGAGCCCCCCCGAGTGTGGCAGGCACGCAAAACCCCCCAGGACCGTGGGTGGGGAGCAGTTTTGGGGATGAATCACGGGGAGGGAGGGAGAGCTCCGGGGTGATGCCGCAGGGATCAGAGGAGCATCCTGCCCCTCCATCGCCCTCAGCCCCCACCCTGTCCCCCCAGGCGTGAGCTTTGCCACGCGGCAGATGGCCGGGCTCACCAAGCCCACCACCATCATCGAGGTGAACGGAGAAAAGGTCACCGTGAAGACCCAGAGCACCTTCAAGAACACCGAGATCAACTTCAAGCTGGGCGAGGAGTTCGACTAGCACGAGTAGTTAGTTAGTTCGATTCAGTTGAGGAGGCGCCAGTTCGACCGCGGGTTGTGGATGTAGTTGTGAGTTTCGACGCACGAGCCGAGCGATCCGAACGATAGCCACGGACAACGGCGAGCACACGACCAATAACACCGCCAGGACCCGAAGGACGCGGCAGGACGGAAGACCAAAAACGACAATGAAACGAACAGGCACGTCAAGGTGAGCCCCCGGCCCTGCCCCCGGCCCTGCCCACCCCACAGAGGCTCTCTGGGCTCCGGGGAGTCCAGCCCGTGGCTCCAGGGTTCCGTCCTGGTTGCCTGTGGAAGGGGAACACCCCTCTGCCCGCAGGGGTTGGTGCTCGAGCCTGGTCTGGTCCGCACAACCCCCCCCTCAGCCCGTTTTGCAGCTCTGGGAGCAGGATGGGCCCCGGAGCTGACGGGAAGGTTGTGCAAGAGCCGGGCTTGCAAGTGCCAGCTTGCTCAAGAGGAGGCCAGGGGATGTAGAGGGGTGGTGGTGAGTGTCCCCACTCCGGGGGGAGAGGAGCACAAGACCTCTTTTTTGAGCCCCCTCTTTGCTGAGCCCCCTCTTTGCCCGTCCTCCCAAGCAGGCAGCTCTGCAGGCAGGGACAGGGACTGAGCACCCGGACAATCCCACCCAGCTGGTTCCTCCCCAGGGGCTGATGCATCCCCGGGGGTCCCTGGGGAGTCCAAAATCTGGCCAGAGCTGTTCCTCATCATAAGAGCAAGGGAAAAATCACCTGAGGGAGGTCAGAGCACCTTTCATGGCCTCTCCCACCCTGCAGAGACATTTTCCCTTGCAGGACTGACCCAGCCCCTGCTTTTCCCTGTTTTCCAGCTGCTGGTCCCGCACACCACTGAATCCCCCGTGCAGGGAGCAGCTGGCAGCCCCGTGCCCCCCACCCAGCCCGGGGGGAACCTCAGAGGGCACCTTGAGGCTCGCTGGGCACAAAACCCCTTCCCGGCCCCAAAGCAGGAAGCACAAGAGCTGAGCAGGGAGTGAGGATGGGGGGGAAGGGAGCGAGTGTGAGCCGGGCAGACACGGGGCAGCAGAGCCCTGCCCACCACCATTCCCACCCCCATTCCCACTCTCCGGAACTGCTGGAAACTGTTCAAAGCAGCAGGAACGTGTGACCAGCCAAGAGCTCCTGCCCAGCCCGGGGACGTGGTGCCCCTCGGCCGGGGGCCAGAGGGCACGTGATGGTTCAGCAGGGCCAGGACGAGCCATGGGCTGCAGGGCTGGGGCAGGGGGGGAGGTGTGGAGCTGTGGGGCACCCACGACTGCATGGAATCATGGAACAGTTTGGGTTGGAAGGGACCTCAAAGCCCACCCTGTTCCACCCCCTGCCATGGCCAGGGACACCTTCCACCAGCCCAGGTTGCTCCAAGCCCTGTCCAACCTGGCCTTGGACACTTCCAGGGATGGGGCAGCCACAGCTTCTCTGGGCAACCTGTGCCAGGGCCTCCCCAGCCTCACAGGAAAAGTTTCTCCCCAGTATTCCATCTAACCCTGCCCTCTGGCAATGGTTTCCAGGGCCGTGGGGCACTCAAATTCCTGTAGGTACCCAAACTCTTGGCACCTGAGCAGTGGGGACAACCCAGCTGTAGGGAGAGCTGAGCTCTGAGGGAGCACCCAGAGCCCTGCGGGGTCCTGGGGCTGTGGGGACACAGGAGCTATGAACCGACCCAAGCCATGGAGGCACCCGAGGGGGTGAGGGGCACAGGGCAGGATGGGGCCGGGGCAGTGCCTGTCCTGGCACAACCCCGTGCAGTCACACCACCCTTGGCACGGCCGGGCTCGGGGCTGAGTCAGCAGCAGTGGCCCGGCGAGCAGAGGCGCGTTTGCTGGATTAGCTCCTCCAAAAACCCTCCCAAGCCCTCCGGAGGGCAGAGAAGTTGCGGTTCAAAGCGCCGGTACCTGCCCCGATCCCCGCCCCGCCTCTCTGAGCCCTCCGGCGTCGGGGCCGGGCTCAGCTCCCGGGGCCACGCAGCAGGACGCGGCCCTGGGCAGGGCTCCCTGCGCTGGCCCCGGGGCAGGGAGGGCACGCTGGGGCAGCCGAGGCCGTGACCGAGCAGAGGACAGTGCAGGACCTGTCCTGGGTTAAGAAGGACTAACCAAGCCGGGTGGGATGATCCCAGATGGGCATCCCGAGGGTGGCACCCACAGCCTGATCCTGAGCACTGAGGGGCTCCAGCGTGAGCAAAGGACATCCCCTCCAAGGGATAAAGCCCCCCCAGAGCCCTGAGAGCCTGGGAAGGAGGGTTTCACAGCAGGCCTTATCTCTCCCCACAGTCTGTGGTGAAGCTGGACGGCGGGAAACTCGTCCACGTGCAGAAGTGGGACGGGAAGGAGACATCGCTGGTGCGGGAGCTGAAGGATGGGAAGTTAACTCTGGTAAGGAAAGGGTGTTAAACCCGGGAAGGGCTCGGTCCAGGGCAGGCCAAGAGCTGGACTAACCCCTCTCTCATCATCTGCCCCCAGACTCTCACCATGGGTAACGTGGTCTGCACCCGCACCTACGAGAAGGCGACATAGACGCTGCCCCAGCCCCTGCTGCCACCCAGTGCCACGTCCATCCCACAGCCCACATCCCCACCCCTGCTGGGCACAGCTCCACGTGGGACTGGAGCCGCTGCACCGCCGGGGCCTCCTGCTGTCCCCACCCCGGAGCCCCCCCGGGGCCTGGGGGGTGGGTTTGTGGTTTCTTGTTGGGGTTGTTTTTTTTAATTAATAATGGGAAAACTCGCATGGAAAAAGAATAAAGGCCGTGTTGTTACAGCTCTGTGGTCAGTTTGCTTGGAAAAGGCTGGTCTGGCATGTGCCCATCTGTATCTGTAGTGTTCAGCCACCACCCAGGGTTCAACCAGCCCTGGCAGGGATGGGGTTAATGCCCACTGATCCCTGGAGCCCATTTCTCCAAGCTGTGGAAACAAGAGGCTGTGATGGTTAGAAATGTGCTTTCCCAGGGGGAATATTTGTTCAGTCCCACGGCAGCTCTGCCTGTGGATTGCCCAGGATCCAGACAAGCTCCTTCCCTGGAGAGTGATCCTTCCACCAGGGCAGGACCGGAATCAAGGTCCCGAGCACTTGGTGGCTGGTTTTGGGAAGGCAACTGGCCCCGAGGGGGGATGCAGCCATGGGGAACTGGGGTGAGCAGCACAGGAAAGGGCAAAGCACACGGGGAAGGGACGGGCTGCACCAGCAACCCCAAATCCTCCCGCTGTGACACCAACAGGGAGTTGCCAACCCCACTCTGTCCTCCCCGTAGAGCCAGAGGCAACAGGAAAGACTCACCTCCCCAATTCCTTCACCACATCTGTCCCAGCACGGAGGAGCTGCTCCTGCTCCTGGCAGACACCCCCTGAGGCCACTGCCCAGCCCCTGCCATCCCTTCCCCCTGACCTTCAGCTCCAGTTACAAGATTATGCTCCAGCTGCTCCCTCCCAGAAGGCACCAAGCTTCTCCTATGGGTTACCTCACCACACACCCCCTTCCCACCCCAGGGACCTGGGGAAGCAGCCAAGACTTGCAAAAAAACCCTTTCCTGCAGGTCTGTGCCCTGTTCCTTCCCTGCCCGAGTGTGGCGGGGACAGAAGAAAAGAGCAGCTACAAAGTACAGCTGGAAATGGCAATGGCAGAGATTTCTTTTCCATCACTTTCCAAGGCAGCAAACACTGTAGAGTGTTTACTGACAATATCTCCACTCCCCACGTGCTTCTCGCTCCTCCACTCCCAGTGTTTGCAGACAAAGAGGGAGCTGGGGCAGCTTTGCAGCCCAAAGCCAAGGAGGGGGGGACGTGGCCCCATCCCAGGGCCCAGCAACACCCTCTGCTGTCCCTGAGCAGTGTGGGGACAGCCTGGCAGTGCCACCTCAGCCCTGCAGGAGCTGATGTCACCCAGGCTCCCGCTGGCAGCCCATCCAGCGGAACACGAGGCTGCAGGACAGGAGAGGTGCCCTGGTGAGGTGCCTGGGAGAGGTGCCCTGCAGGGTGTCATGAGCCTGTCCTGGCACGAGCTGTGGGAGAAAGGGGCAGCCTGTGCCAAGGTGACAGAGGACAACCTGTAGCAAGGTCACACCTGTAACACACCAGTAACACCACGTGCCTGGGTGACTTTGAGAAGGAAACTCTGTCCCTGGTTCCTGCTGGCTGCTCGTGGTGTGCACCAGGGACTGGCAATGCCAGCATCCCACCCTGCCCCTGCTCATTCCCAGGGCTACTTCCTGTGCTTCTTCTTCTTCTTCTTCTTCTTGGGAGCCTTGGAATGCTTGCTCCTCTTGCTGGAGGGCTGAGCCCCTGAGCTGTCCGAGTCTGAGCTGCTCGAGTCTGACTCTGAGGACTCCTTTGCCTTGTGCTTCTTCTTCTTCTTCTTCTCCTGGGAAAACAAATGGAAAACATGTGGGAACACTGTCACCTGTGCTCAGCAGGGCAGCAAGGGGCTTTGTGTCCCTGTGCCTCAGCTGTTCCTGCCAGGAAAGGGCACTGTGCCCCAGGAGGCAGGAGTTAACCCCCACTGTGGGCCCACAGCTGCAGGAGCCGGGAACAGGGGATGGCACAGACCAGAGCAGGGGGGAGCAACATGGAAAGAGCCAAGCCTGGAAAGACTTAGACCAAAAGAGAGTCCCTGCCCTCACTCCACGGTGAGAGTTCACTCCGTTATTTAAGGTTGATCTTTATTAATATAAGTTGGAAGGATGAAGCTTTTTCGCCCAAAAAACGGGTTTCTAAAATAGCCATGAGCACCATCCCTGTACCCTCACCCCGTCAGCAGCCCCCAGAATGCCAGGAGATGGTCAGTGATGTGCTGGAGCTCTCCAAACACAGCTGCTCCTGGCAGGGGAGCCCAAGCCGTGCCCATCAGAGCTTCCTGCAGCCGGGATGAACCCAGTGCCCTCCCAGCACCTGCGGCTCTGGGCACAACCTCCCTGCAGAGACTGCACCCCCTCCTGCCCCACAACTTCCCACTGCACCCCCTCCTGCCCCACAACTTCCCACTGCACCCTCTCCTGCCCCACAACTTCCCACTGCACCCCCTCCTGCCCCACAACTTCCCACTGCACCCCCTCCTGCCCCACAACTTCCCACTGCACCCTCTCCTGCCCCACAACTTCCCACTGCACCCTCTCCTGCCCCACAACTTCCCCTGCCCCTCCTCTTCTGCTCTCCAATTTCCCATTGCACCATCCTGTGCTCCCCAACTTCTGCTCTCCTGGATTCCCACTGCACCCGCTCATGCTCCCCAACTTCTTCTGCACCCCCTTCTCCTCCCCAGTTTCCCTTCCACATCCTCTTTCTCCCCAACTCCCACTGCACCCCCTCCTGCCCCACAACTTCCCATTGTATTCCACCCTGCTCCCCAACTTTTTCTGCAACTCCTCTCCTGCCCCCCAACCTCCCCTGCACCCCCATCTGCTCCCCAGTTTCTCTTCCACCCCCTCCTGATCTCCTGGATTCCTTTGCACACCCTCTTCCCCCCCAGCCTCCCTTGCACGCCTTCCTGCTCCCCAAATTTCTCTGCACCCCATCCTGCTCCCCCACTTCTCACTGCACCCTCTCCTGCCCCCCAACTTCCCTCACTCCCCCTCCTGCTCCCCACCTTCCCTTTGCACTCCCTCCTGCTCCCCAACTTCCCATTGCATCCCCCTGCTCTGCACCATCCCTTGCACCCTCCTGCCCACCTTCCCCCTGCAGGCCCTCCTGCTCTCCACCTTCCCTTGTCCCTCCTCCTGCCCCCCACTTCCCCTTCACACCTTCCTGCTCCCCACCTTCCCTTTGCATCCCCTCCTGCTCCCCAACTTCCCAGTGCACTCCTGCTGCTCTCCTGGATTCCCACTGCACCCCTTCTTCTCCCCAACTTCCCACTGCACCCCCTCCTCCTCCCCAGTGTCCCTTCCACCCCCTCGTGCTCTCCTGGATTCCCTTGCACTCCCTCCTGCTCTCCCACATTCCCCCCTCTCCAGGACACATGGAGCCCCCCAGGCTGTGTTTCTGCAAAGCCCTGAAGCAAAAGCTCTCCATCATTTGGATGCAGAACAAGAACAGCTGGTGCTGGAATAAAGGTCACAAGGAACTCTGAAATGCAGCTAAACCCTCAAATTTGAGGCACGTGAGGAACCACCAAGTAGAGATTACCCTGAGATCAGGCCTGGGTGCACTGGAATTGCATCAGCAGAGCACCCCAAAGCACTGAACAGTTTGATGATGCAGAGCAGCAATTTGTATGTATTTAATCAGAAAACAGTGCTGGGGAGAGGATGTGATCAGCCTGTGCTGGCAGCACACACAGCCCAGCTGCTGCATCCCCTTCCAGCACGGAGAGGGAGAATGCTGGGGCCATCCAACCCCCATCCTGCAAAAAACTGAGAGATTCCCTTTCTTCTGGGAACTAAAGGGAAGCAGGTAAGTGGGCCTCTAAAAATAATTGTAATATCTCGCATATATTTAATATAAAGCTCCAACTTCCCAACCAAAAGCAACACCGGCCTACAGCAGGGAGCTACCAATTCATCCATCCATCAGCAGCAAAGAGAGACTTCCCTGGCAAATGTCTATCAGGGAATCATGGAATGGTTTGATTTGGAAGGGATCCTAATGATCATCCAGTCCCACCCCCTGCCATGGGTAGGGACACCTTCCATCAGCCCGGGTTGCTCCAAGCCCTGTCCAACCTGGCCTTGGACACTTCCAGGGATCCAGGGGCAGCCACAGCTTCTCTGGGCAACCTGGGCCAGGGCCTCCCCACCCTCCCAGCCAACAATTCCTTCCCAATATCCCATCTATCCCTGCCCTCTGGCACTGGGAAGCCACTCCCTGTGTCCTGTCCCTCCATGCCTTGTCCCCAGTCCCTCTCCAGCTCTCCTGGAGCCCCTTTAGGCCCTGCCAGGGGCTCTCAGCTCTCCCTGGAGCCTTCTCTTCTCCAGGGGAACCCCCCCAGCTCTCCCAGCCTGGCTCCAGAGCAGAGGGGCTGACCAGGAATTTTTGCTCTATTCAAGGACATAAAGAGGACACGAGGGAAGAACAAGGGAGGGTTTCATGGAGCAGGGATGGGCAGTGAGGTGACCCAAGCCTGTGAGAGTGCCTGGGATAGCCCTGGACAGCCCCAGTGAGGAATGTGGCCCAGCCAGAACAGCTCCCAGTTTTTAGCCATCCGTGCTCCAAGTGAGCAGCACCTGCCCAGGTGCCCACATGTGCAACGACTGCTGCACCCACAGGACCGGGCACAACCCTCCCAAACTGTTCCCTTCCACACTTTAACCCCTCAACCACAAACTTCCCCTAAGGAGCCAATTGCTTGGGGAAAGTGTCCTCATGTGGAGAGAAGAGAAGGCTGATTCCTCCCTCTTCCATTAGCTCCAGCCACTTCCACACAAGTGCAGCTTCCCCACAAATATTCCTCCCCCAGATCATGGAGAGACAAGCTGAGTCTGTATTTCCTTTAAAACCAGGGACACGATTTCTCATGGATTGGGTGTCCCAGCACCAGGCACAGCCTGTCAATTAGGGAATAAAGAAGGGAGCTGGCAGCTTATTTAATGTGAAAGAGAACAACTCTTTTAGGGAGGCAGAAGAGCCAAGATAACACTTGGTTTGGAGCTGTGCAGAGTCCTCTGGGATTCCAGGGAAGGGAGCAGAGGATGGAGTCACTCCACACCCAGCAGACCCTTGGCATTACCAGGTTTTGTAGCTCCACAATCAAAATCAAGTGTCCACATTTTCCTGTGGGATAACAAGACTCACTACAAATCCTACAAATCCCCAACCCCCCCCCACACACAAAAAAAGCAAATCCTCACAGTCTTCGGAATAGGATGGGAAAGAGTTAAACCTTCCAGGGAAAGGGATGCAGCAAGGAGAATTTTCTCAAGCTTCCCCAGCCCCTGCACATGGTGAGAAAGTTTGACAAGGCCTTAAGAACCAAGAGAGTTTCATTCCAGGGCTTGGGAAACTTTGTGAGGATGTGAGGGCTGCAGGCAGGACAGGATGTCACACAGGGTTACAGGGGACACAGAAGCACACGTGGGCACTGTGCTGCCTGCAAAAAAACAACAACCCCTCAGTGCCTCCTTTTTGGGGCTCCTCTAAGAGCCAGAGTGCTGCTCCGAGACAGAAGACTTTTTCCTGGCACACACACAAAAAAAAAGAGCCTTTTCTCTGGGATTTTCAGGGTGTCCCGTGCAGGGCCAGGAGTTGGACTTGATGGTCCTGGTGTGCCCCTTCCAACTTCAGATATTCCATGATTCCATGACTCTTCCAGTGCAGCGGTGCAGGGAGCAAGTGAGAAACACAAGAGCTGAGCATTCCTTAAGGGAATTCCTTAAGGGAAGCTGAGCCTGCCCCAGCCCTGGAAGTGTCCAAGGCCAGGATGGATGTTTGGAGCGACCTGGGCTAGTGGGAGGTGGCACTGGATGGGCTTCCAGTCCCTTCCAGTCCCAGGTCCCTTCCAACCCAAACCATTCCAGGATTTTGTGATTCTGTGATTTGTTTCCCACAGGTTTTGGTTGAGCTTGAACGTCCCTTCCAACTCAAGCAATTCCATGATTTTCTGGAGCATCCTGCTGCAGGACCTCAGACTTCCCTAAAATCCAGCATCCCACTGCTCACCAATGAACGTTTCCATGGGGAATTTTGGGATATTTGGGGATCAGGGTGGGTTTGGAGGTACTGTGGTGAATTTTTGTAGGAATTTAATGGGACTTTGGGCGGATTTGGAGGCATTTGGGGTGGCTTTTCATGGGCTTTGGAGCTATTTTGATAGGATTTTCAAGGATTTGGACAGATTTTGAGGGCATTTTCGGATATTTGGAGGGTATTCTGATGGGATTTGGGGGGGTTGAGTGTATTTTGCATGTATTTCAGGTGGATTTGATGGAATTTGGGGATTTTTGGAGGTGGTTTTGTGGGTTTGGGAATATTGGGGGGATTTGGGGAAATTCTGGGATATTTTAGGAGATTTGGGGGTACTTCAGCTGCATTTTACATGTTTTGGGGGTATTTTGTTACACTTTTGGGCCATTTTGATGGGATATGGGGCTATTCTGATTGAATTTTGGTGTTTTAGTGGGGAATTTTGAACATTTTGGGAATTCTGAAGTGAATTCCATGAATTTGGGGGAATTTTGCTGGATTTCAGTGGTATTTGAGTGCATTTTGATGGGATTTGGGTGGATTTTAGAGGCCTCTTGGGTGAATTTCAGTGGTATTTTGGGGTATTTTATGTGGATTTTGGTAGCATTTTGATGGAATTCTAGGGAAAATGTGTGGATTTGGGGAAATTTGGGCTATTTTGGGGTGATTTTGTTTGGGTTCATTTGCTGTGCTTCAAGAATGTTACAACAGCTCGTTCCTTCTCAAGGTATTTGGTTTTGAGATAAGAGGGGAGTGTCCAGAAACACTCCCAGAGCTTGAAATATTTTTCAGCAGACCCTTTCGTGGAGTTATGGCCTCGTTTCAACGTTTTCTCTCTGTCCTTGGGGAAAAATTGAGAGTGGATTTCCACACAGATGCCAGCCTGCATCTCCAGGGAGGTGCCAATAACCCTCACAGGCTTCTCTTTTATTCTGGATTTTTATTCCACCACCCAGTTTAATTCCTGACAAGATCCACTACGTAAATCTGAAGGTGGTTTTGCATCCTTTGTTTGAGGAGCAGTCAGAATTAATCTGAGGAGGAGAATCCAGCCTGTAGGCAGTAAATAAGTAGAGCCAGGCTCAGAAAAGCAGGGATTAAGCACAGTGTGTGAAGGGCTGTGCCCTCAGCTACTGTCATGTAGGAACTAGTAAAACGAGCCCAAGTGAGGATGGAGTGAGGCTGGATGAGCCACAGGTCACAGAACAAACACCAAGGTGTGCTTTTTACAGGAAGAGACAACAGCTGCAGGCAGAGCACCTGGAATTCTTCTACAAGGTGGGAAAAAGCAGCAAAGCCTTCAGAAAGCCCCAATTCCAACGATCATCACAGAACCACCCCAGTGTGACTGAGGAGATGGGATGTTTCTGTAGGATTTAAATGGAAGGGGTTACCCCTGGGTGAACACTGTGGATGTTTCCTTGGGAGGCAGAGGAGAAGGCAGGATCAAAGGGCTCAGCTCTTCCCAGCACTCCTGCCTCCCACACAGGCCCAGCAGGGACACACTGCTGTGTTCTCATAGGAGCTTCCTCACCCCCTGACCCCAGAGGAAAAGGGAAGGGGACACACAGCCCGTGCCTGCCCAGCTGTCACACACTGCCCAGAGGTGCTCCCACCACTGCAGCACGGAATCATGGAGTTGGTAGGGTTGGAAAAGACCTCCAGGATCATCAAGCCCCAGCATGGTCACCACTAAATCGTACCCCGAGGTGCCACATCCACCTGATTTTTGAATCCTTCCAAGGGTGGGGACTCCACCACCTCCCTGGGCAGCCCCTGCCAAGGCCTGACCACCTTTTCCAGGGAGAAATTCCTCCTGATGTCCAACCTGACCCTCCCCTGGCACAGCCTGAGGCCGTTCCCTCCCCTCCTGTCCCTTGTTCCCTGGGAGCAGAGCCCGACCCCCCCCGGCTCCCCCCTCCTGTCAGGGAGTTGCAGAGCCAGAAGGTCCCCCCTGAGCCTCCTTTTCTCCAGGCTGAGCCCCCCCAGCTCCCTCAGCTGCTCCTGCTGCTCCAGCCCCTTCCCCAGCTCCGTTCCCTTCCCTGCACACGCTCCAGCATCTCCACTTCTCCCTCAAATCACTTCTTTTCTCCGGGATTACAGGAGGCAGAGCTGTGCTCACAGGGTGATCTGTCACTACAGGGACTTGTGTCACTGTCACATCAGTGCCTGTGCCAGAGCACAGACCTGGAGCTACAGCTACATCCTGTAAATGAAGGAAACAACTGAGGAGCCATTGGGAAGGCAAGGTGAGAAAAAAGGGAATGAGAAGCTCAGAGTATCTCTGTGAGGAGAGGAACCTCTGGGGAGAGGGAAGAGCACCTAGAGACTGCCAGAAAGCATCAGGTCTAGGAAAGCAGAAAAAGCTGATCCTGAACAAAGTGTCAATCCTGTTGCTCTGGCACTAAGTGGAGGTGGGATCACTGGGGAGTGGCAGCTCCCTGCTCCTCATTTAAGAATCCAGCTCCACACTGATGTCACACACGTGGGATGGGCCAGCCAGGGGACTGTCACTGGGTAAAATGAGCTATTTCTATGCTGTGTAAATCCCTGGAGCTGCAGCCAGGCAGGGAAGCACATGGTGGCTCCTAGACGAGCTCACAGCAGGCACTCAGACAACAAGGGAGCTATTCATGTCCAGGATCCCACATCCTGCCTCCAGGAAAGCTCCAAGTGTTATTATTCCAGCTCTGGCAAACATCTGAGCACCTTTGATGTCCTCCTTGAGAAGGGAGGAAGATGAAAGGGACAAGCAAGATTTAAAGGAAAGCTGTTAATACACCAAACCAAAGAAAAATAGGAACAAATTGAGGACAGTGACCCCCATATCCTGTAGTGTCAGCAGGGCAGGACTCCACTGGGAATGCCCATCCTGGTGGATGTGGAGTTATTTGTGCACCTCTTAGGGTAATTTTTCCCCCCAACATTTAAATAACTTGAGCCTTTACCAGACAAAATCACCATCCCTGCCAGAGGGAAGAGACTGAAGGCAGGAGAAGGGCTGTGGAATTGAGAACAGAGAAGCCCAATGTCTGGGGTCTGGAAAGGTGAGAGGCACAGCCAGCTGGGATCTGAGGGATGACTCGGTTCAATCCCATGATTCCAAGATCAGAACAGAAAGTAAACTATGAGGATTTTCTATCACAGTGCAATGACACTCCACAGACATTCCACTCTGGAGTATTCCACTCTGTGACCTGTGGCTCATCCACTGTGCCCACACAGTGTGGAAGCACAGGACATCTCGGGATGGAGCCTGGCACAGGGTCTGTGACCAAGAGAAATCCTCTTCCCACCTCTAGATCAGCTCTCCAAGTGCTCCTGAGCAAACAGGAGCTGCACATTTGGGATCAAATCAACACTAACTGTGTTTGGTGCTCAAATCAGACTCCTCCAGCCCTATTCAGGATTTCCCTCACAGGGAGGTTGGGCACTGAACAGGCTCCCCAGGGCAGTGGGCACGGCCCCAAACTCACCAGACCTCAAAAGAGTGTTTGGACAACGCTCTGAGGGACAGGGTGGGATTGCTGGGGTGTCTGTGCAGGGCCAGGAGCTGGACTTGATCATCCCTTCCAATCCAGAACATTCCACGATTCTCCTGGCAGCATCTGCAGCCTCTCCCACCAGTATCAGCACTGGTGTAACCCCACAGTGAGCTGGGAGAACCCAGCCCTCAGGAGCTGGTTCTCACTGTGCCATCACTGACACCATCCTTGTCCCTCTCCTGGAAAGGCAAAATCCATCACCTCTGCTTCCTGTCCCTCTCCAGGGACACAGAGAGGCCACAGAGCTGCAAAGAGGAAAACAATAAAGAAAAAGGGCTTTGGAAGTGTAAATAAACATGGTACTGCAGTTGTGAAGGGGCTGATAAAAGTTTGATTATTTATTGAAGTCTAGAATTGGAATAAGTTGTGGTTGATCCATCCCTGGAAGTGTCCAAGGCCAGGTTGGACAGGGCTTGGAGCAACCTGGGATAGTAGAAGGTGTCCCTGCCCATGGCAGGGGGTGGAATGAGATGGGCTTTAAGGTCCCTTCAACCCAAACCAGTCTGGGATTCTATCAATAGTCTTTGCTGTATAAACCTGACCCCCAAAAGCTCCTGGTTTGGGTTCAGGCCTCCCCTGCATTTCATCCCAGCACATTCTGAGCCAAAGGTCAAACACTGCACATAAAAATACTCTTATCTCTTGCCATTTTCCCATGGATTTTCACCTTCTGGCTGGGTCAGGATACCCCCTGGAGCCAGAAACTGGGCACTGAGCTCGGATCAAAGGTGTGAGGGCAAAGGGAGGGAAAACAGGTCATTGGCAAGAATCACAGACATTCAGGAAACTAAAGCAATTCCCACAGAGCCTCACAAAGACCAGGAGAAAAATAATAATCCTTTTCTCACTCCAGGAAATACCTTTGGGGGGCTGTGTGTTAAAGGTCTTTGGGGGGCTGTGTGTTAAAGGTCTTTGGGGGGCTGTGTGTTAAAGATCTTTGGGGGGCTGTGTGTTAAAGGTCTTTGGGGGGCCGTGTGTTCCAGCACAGAACCAGCTTAAAGGCAGTTTAACACAAATAGAGGGAGAAAGTTTAAGAGTGACTAAAAAGTCTGTAGAGGAGATTCCTGTTTTGCTACAGGATCTGCACAAAACTGAGCCACCTCCCCAGCCCAGAACTGGTTACTCAAACCCATGTTGCTGTAGTAACTCACAGAGCAAACTACTCATCCCACTCTTCCAGGTCACCCCATACCTTTTTCCTCTTTTTTGAAGGCTCCTCAGCCAGGCTGGTCTTATTGTCTCCTCCTGCTGCTGCCACCTCATCCTCCTCCTCTTCTGGGATGAGGCTGTACTTGGTCCCTCCAGGCTGCATGAAACACTCCTTGGCAAAATGACCTGTAAAATAAGGGTCTGAAGGAGCAGCTCCTCCCCTTTTCCTTTTGCATTTCACACACCTGAACTGCTGCTGAGGATCTTTTTATTGTGACTCACAAGAAGACAAGCTACACTGGACATTTTTTGTCCTAAAATTTCAGCTGGTTTAACGTGCCCTGACTAAACAGGCCAGCTAAAACACAACCCAGGTCATTCTGGAGAAATTAGTCAGGCAAAAACTAAGATGTTCTTGTCTGAACAGGACAACTGTAGAGACATGTCTGTGCAGGGGCTTAGAAAGGTGTCTGGGAAAGGTAAACTGGTGTGATTGGCACCTGGTAAATGAGCCAAAGCCACAAATGGAGGGGAAAGCAGCTCATTTTGATTCTACTCTGCAGATATCAAAGCTGACCTACTAATAGCTGAAGTGGAAACTCAGATAGCTGGTACCTGCCTGCTGTTAGGAGGAGACAGCATCATTAAAATCAGACTGGGAACAGGTAGAATCCTACTTTTTTTGAGTTAAAATAGTATTTTATATATATATTCTTTAAAATAGTATTTTAAAGATGCTTCTCTACCACTACAGAGCCCATACTCATTATTAACCTTCTCCAGAATAGCATGAACCCCATTCACCATTTGCTCCAAATAACATAAGGCAAGTAGGGCACAGCAAAAACTCCTGGACAAAAAAACTACTTGATGCTTCAGCAACTTTCAAAAGCTCCTGAAAGGCATCACACAAGTCAGGCTCCCAGTGCTGAACTGGGCAAGACACAGAGTTCAGCAGGTTAAACCCCCAGCTTGGTTTTAGCTCTAAGACACTGCCCCCAAGCTAAGAGTGCTCCATGTGGGATTTCCATGGATCGTTGTTCACAGTCAGAGGATCTGGTGAAGGCCATGTTTGCTTCTTAAAATGCAAAACCAGAGTGAGATCTCAGCTGTGAGGCACATTAACCAAACACTGCAAGTACTGAACTGTTCCCAGCAGGAATCACAGACTAGCTGGGGTTGGAAGGGCCCTCTGGAGATCACCCAGTCCATCCCCCTGCCCAGGAAGGGTCATCCAGAACTGACTCAGGGACATGTCCAGGTGGGTTTGGGATGTCTCCAGACAGGGAGACTCCACACCCTCCCTGGGCACCTGCTCCAGGCTCTGCCACCTCCATGGAAAGAAGTTCTTCCTCACACTGAGGTGGAACTTGCTGTGTTTTAGTTTCTGGCTGTTGTTCCTTCTCCTGTCACTGGGCACCACTGAGCAGTCTGGTACAACCTCTGACCCCCCTGAGAGGTATTTGTGTGGATTGATATTTGTATGGATTGATAAGATCCCCTCTCAGTCTTCCCTTCTCCAGACTAACCAGGCCCAGCTCCCTCAGTCTCTCCTCAGCAGAGATGCTCCAGTCCCTTAATCATCCTCGTGGCCTCTGCTGGACCCTCTCCAGCAGCCCAAAGGGGATGAGATTTTAAGGAATAAACTTTCATAAAAGGAGTTGAACTAAGTCTTTCATTTTCTGTCTCAAACAAGAGACAGAAAATGCAGTTTTCAAATTCAGTCCTTACACACAACCATGTTTACAGGTTGCCCAGAGAAGCTGTGGCTGCCCCTGGATCCCTGGAAGTGTCCAAGGCCAGGTTGGAGCAACCTGGGACAGTGGAAGGTGTCCCTGCCCATGGCAGGGGGTGGAACAAATGAGTTTTTACACCCTTTCCAACCCAAACCAGTCTGTGATTCTTTCCATGAGACAGACACTGATACAATCCTACCTGACTGGAACAAGGCTACACCAAAAGCTCCAGCCAGCCCTGCACAAACACACCTTTGCAGCCACACTTCTTGCACACAGTGTTCAGAACAGCTTCCAGGGTGATCTTCTGACTCGTGTAGTCCCTGAAGGTGCGTTTCTTCCTCTCATCCTGACTGGGAAGAGAAGGACAGTTCCATTTTCAATCCACCATCATCTCTCACCCCGTGTGTTTGTATGAACACAGCACAACTAGAAGGTTTTTCAGAGGTTGCTCTACAGGCACAATTTAAGTAAATCAAAGAACAGAGACGACCCACAGTTCATTAGAACAAACCACATTGTTAACAGACTATTATGTGTCATCAACTCCTTCTGAGACAAACTGAGCCCTCTCTGCACAAAGCAAAAACCCAGGGAGCTGCAGTTACATCCTCCATGTAAAATCTCTATTTTGGCTGTGAACACACACATAAAGACAATTGCCCCAAGTGGAAAAGAAAAGAACCACAGAATGGTTTGGGTTGGAAATCCAACCTGGCCTGGGACACTTCCAGGGATCCAGAGGCAGCCACAGCTTCTCTGGGCAACCTGGGCCAGGGCCTCCCCACCCTCACACACAATTCCTTCCCAATATCCCATCTATCCCTGCCCTCTGGCAGTGGGAAGCCATTCCCACCTGACCTGTTTCACTCTGCTCAGTGGATTTACCTACTCAAGGGCAACGTTGTTGGGATCCAGGTCTTTTCCCGTGCCTTGGTTAACAACCTTCATGGAGAGGGAGAGCTTCAGTTTGTCATCCTTCATCTGAAACAGAGACGTGGAATGAGCACAATTAATGACCATGATGTTAATTAATACACTGGGTCTGGTTAATTAATGGTCTGTAGTTCTGGAGGCCTACAGGGAAAGAGGGAAACTTGGACGGCCAAAAGCAGCAGCACCAAGGACATGACACGAAAGGGCTTTTGTTCTGGTAATTTTTAGCTGTAATTAGCATACTGTAGCTAATAAACCAACTACCTCAGGAACAAATAAAGGCTCAGGAATAATATAACTCCCAACTATAGGTTGTTTGAGTTTAACACTCTGTTTTCAGTATGACCAAAGCCTGGAGCTGTAGAAGGAAGTGCCTATTGGAGAGCTTTGCTGCAATTCCCAAACCACCCACCCCAAGACAGTTCCCCCTGGACAAGTCCTTGGGCCAACATGCATCCTTAAAAATAAAAGTTTATACTCTTTTTCCTATTTTAATCCTCTCATGAGACTAAAACTGTTCTCTGTGTCTCTATTAGGCACTATTCATTCCTGAATCCCCCAGCTCCTTGATTACTTTATCACTTTAGAAGCAAGAGCAAAAGATGACATTTTGGGGTTTTTTTTCTTACAACCTTCTGCATTTTCCCCAATGCTGCTAATGAAACTACTCCTGTTTTGCTTATGTTTATTTGCAGGCAATCTAACAATCAAGTATTCCACTGTTCTCCTCTCCAACATGCTTCTAGAGCAAAGAGGCCAAGAACCCAACAACTGTGTTCTGGATAAAGCAAACAGCGGTTTAATAGAAATTTAGACAAATAAAATTTAAAATAATTAAAATAAAAAAAAGCACACCACAGGTGGCTAAAAAGAATCTGTGAAGTCCTTCATGTAGCTTTTATACAGTATGTAAGTAAAACCAAGTTTCTCAACCTGTTCCCCTTATCTCAGACAAAATTACGACCTTGATTTGTACATCAACCTCACTGTCTCATTTCAGGAAAAAATAAAAGCACTTAAGGCTAGATCCTGTGCAACTCTGTGAGTCTTCCACCTTGAAAACACAGTCAGTTTGCTTTGTTTCCATGGCTCAACAAAGCAAGAGTCTTCAGTTGGAGTTCTAAGGAATCTCTGAATGCAGATGATGCACCTTAATGTCACACCTTCTGCAGAAGGAAAGGGCACCGTGGACTGCAGAGGGAAAGAAATGCATGAGCTCTTATTTCAAAATGAACAAGTTGTTAGAGAGCACTCAAGGGAGGGTTATGAAGACGGTGAAGGGTCAGGAGGGGCCATGAGGAGCAGCTGAGGGCACTTGGTGTGTGCAGCTGGAGCAGAGCAGGCTGAGGGCAGAGCTCAGCGGGGGCTGCAGCTCCTCCCCAGGGGCAGCTCCGAGCTCTGCTCTGGGGGAGCAGGGACAGCCCCCAGGGAACGGCTGGAGCTGTGCCAGGGCAGGCTCAGGGTGGATCTCAGGCAAAGGTTCTTCCCCCAGAGGCTGGTTGGGCACTGCCCAGGCTCCCCAGGGCAGTGGGCACAGCCCCAAGGCTGCCAGAGCTCCAGGAGGGTTTGGCTGATCCTCTGGGGCACAGGGGGGGACTCTTGGGGCTGGGCCTGTGCAGGGCTCAGGGTTGGACTCCATCATCCTTGGGGGTCCCTCCCAGCTCAGGATCCTAATTCTGTGAAATCCCTTTTCCTGACCTGCACTGTTGCAAGTCCCAGAAGGGATGTGCCCAAGGGCACAGCTGGAGGTGCAGAGAATTCACTTGGCTGTAAAACAGAGCCCAGCAAAGTGACAGTAACACACAGCCCCTGGCACAGCCCTCAAAACATTTAAGGACATTTGACCCACACAGCACTAAAGAAGGAGAATTAAACTCACCTCTTTCCCAATCAGCTTCACCCAGACTTTGTCCCCAACATCCACAATCTCTGAGGGTTTATCCACACGGCAGGAGGACATGTGAGTCCTGTGCACAAGGCCTGCAAGTGCATTTGGGGGACAACAGAGAGAAAAAATAAGGACAAGTCTCCACTGAGCCTCAGATCTGCCTTCCAGAACAGCAGTCCCTAAAGTGGCCTGGAGAAGCCAATTCCAGAGGGTGTGGGAAGAGCATATTTTTAATATTTTAATAAATAAAAAACCCCTAACAGTGGTTATTTCATCTTTGGCTCATTCCTTTAATACTTAATGCATACAAATAAATTAATAGTTCTTAACATTTAGCTCATTCTTTTATTATTTTACAAATAAAGTAAATTAATAGTGCTTGTTTCACTTTTAGCTCTTTCTTTTTTAATATCTCTTTCTGAGCATGGTTTATAATGCACATACCATTAGCACAGCACTACATGCACATTCTTTATAAATTATTATATATCTATTGGGGAGGGTGCTCAAAACTTTCTTAACTGGTAAGTCTGGCTGATTTTAACTGGGAATTCCCAATGAAATCCACTTGGAGACACTGCTCTGGGAGAGCTAGAACACATTCAGCTGCTCCCCTGAGCAAGAGGAACCTTTTCTTTCCTCCAGTACCTCCTGCAGGTCAGAAACAACGAGTTGCCTCCATCAAACAGGTAAAAGTTCATCAGGAGCTGCTCCAAATTACAGAGAAAGAGGCCTCCAAAGCAACGTTTTTGTAGCTGAAATTACAGACACCCACATGGAAAACTACAGTGGCCCTACAGTGACCAGGAACTTCAGGGGATATTTGGGGTTTGCAGGTCTCCCACAAACACAGATGAGCCTTTCAATCAGCTTCTCAGCCTTGTTTTTTATTTGAGCTTCGTTTCAGTCTTTCTTGTTTCACCCATTTAGACTGGCCATCAAAGAACTACAGTGGGCAAATAACCTCAATTGCAGAGAGTTTCTACAGTTTGTGCAATATCTTCAAATGACTCAGAGCAAAATATCCTGAAGTTACCAAAACCCACACCAGAATAGCCTGAAATTACCAAAACCCACACCAGAATAGCCTGAAATTACCAAAATCCCACACCAGAATAGCCTGAAATTACCAAAATCCCACACCAGAATAGCCTGAAATTACCAAAAAACGACAACAAAACATCCCAGGGTTACAAAAAAACCCTCTCAGTCTTTTTTGGTATTCTTGAAAACACTCATCTAAATACTTTTCAACTCTAATTTCTTCCTAATTTAGGGGGGAAAATCCTTTTCTAAGCTTTCTGTAAAAGCTTTTAATTCTTGGCTTGAAAACACCAGCATGAAACTGCATCCAAAGCAAATCAGAGGCACAGACCTTGTTTCCTGCAGCCTGGAATTTTGATAAATGCCCCATAATCTGTCACTGCAGCAACCTGTGAAGAAAATCCAACACAGCAGCTGAAGGGAAACTCTCCACAAAGCCCCATTTTTAAATCACAGGTCAGAAAACGCACAAGAAACCTACAATTTCGGGATTCTAAAAGCCTTTAAAGTCTTATTTAAATGAATAATTGTAATATATATTATCTTTACAAATAATTGTATGTGTAATATATAATATATATTATATAAAGTATAATTGATAATTTGTAACATTAAATAAATTTATTTAAGTTATTAAAAAGCTTTTTTACATGAATCTTTAACCTCACCTCATTCCAGCCCCTGCCATGGGCAGGGACACCTCCCACCAGCCCAGGTTGCTCCAAACCCTGTCCAGCCTGGCCTTGGACACTTCCAGGGATCCAGGGGCAGCCACAGCTTCTCTGGGAATTCCATCCCAGCCCCTCACCATTGTCACAGGAAACAATTCCTTCCCAATATCCCCCCCAAATCTCCCCTTTTCCAATTTGAAGCCATTCCCTGTGTGCTGTCCCTCCATCCCTTGTCCCCAGTCCCTCTCCAGCTCTCCTGGAGCCCCTTTAGGCCCTGCCAGGGGCTCTCAGCTCTCCCTGGAGCCTTCTCTTCTCCAGGGGAACCCCCCCAGCTCTCCCAGCCTGGCTCCAGAGCAGAGGGGCTCCAGCCCTGGAGCATCTCCGGGGCCTCCTCTGGACTCTCTCCAGCAGCTCCACGTCCTTGTGCTGTTGTTCCCAGGGCTGGGGCAGCCCTGCAGGGAGATCTGAATTCTGCAGAGGGACAGAATCCCCCCCTGCTGTACCGCCGCACAAACACCCGCACACGAACACACCGCTCCACAATCACGCAGGGGTGTGCGCGGCACAGAACCGCCAGCCACCCAAAACCCCCTAACACAACACAACAGAGACGCAAAGAGAACTAAAACAACATAACAACGGCCCAAAGAGCGCGGCCCATGTCGCGACACCGCCGCCCCCGGCCGCTCCCCGCACCTCTCCCTGGAAGATCGCGTAGAGCTCGGGCAGCGGCTCCATCGCCTCCGAAGGTCCCAGAAGCGGCAGATGGGTTCACCGCAGGCTATCGCATCTCCCCTCGGGGCTGCTGAGAAAAGAGACATTGAATTAACGCCTCAATCCCCTCACAGAACCCTCAGAGAACCTTCCGCCCGCAGGCGCCCAGCGGCTCCAGGGAGGGGAGAGGATGGTTGGATCCGAGCAGGGCCCGCGGTGCCGCGCTGAAGGACGGACCCGGCGCGGTGGGACAACACGGCGCTGCCCGGGGGTCGTGGGGCAGCCGTGACCCCTCAGCGCCCACGGCGGCAGCGCTGAACCTTCGCCATCGCCCTCAGCCGCCCCCACCCGCCACCGCCGCCATTGCTGCTCCTCACCCTGAGAGGCCGCTCAGTGCGCCAATGGCCGCGCGCGATGCTGCGTGGCAGTCAGCCTCAGCCAATCAGCGTTAGTTGTATAAACAAGGGGCATGCCTTCCACCAATCAGCGCCAGGCGCGCCGGCGGGCACCGCGCATCCCCTTCTAACCCCGCGCGCCGCAGGGAGGGCGGGACATCCAGCGGGACGGCGGGACATCCAGCTCCGTTTCGCCAATCAGCATGGCGGGCGCGGCGCTGCCAACCAATAGGAGGAGGGGGCGTGGTCTCGCTGCCCAATGGGGTGCGGGGGGAGTGGCTGCCCGGCCCCGCCATGATCGAGCAGCAGAAGCGGAAGGTGCCGGGTGGCCCTGGCCCCGCTCCGGGCCCCGCGCCGGGCCCGGCTCCTGCCCCCGCCGCGCCTGGAGCTGCCCCGGCTCCCGCCGCGGACCTCCCGCTCGTTCCCGTGCCCGCCAAGAGGCCCCGCCATGACGTGCCGGGCGCGCCGGGCACGGGCGGCGCCGGCGGGCAGCCCCCGGGCGGGGCGCTGCTGCAGGGGGTAACGAGGGGGTGAGGGGTGAGGGGAGGCTGAGGGGAAGATGAGGGGAGTGAGGAGAAGCCTCCGAGGGGTTTTGGGGCTGGCAGGGTGTGGGGACATCCTGCGCTGGCGCTGCTGAGGCACCTCCAGAGCTGTAGCCAGTTCTTGGCACCTCAGGACAAGACAGACATTGAGGGGCTGGAGGTGTCCTGGGAAGGGTTTGGAGCACCAGGAGTTGATGAGGGAGCTGGGGGGGCTCAGCCTGGAGAAAAGGAGGCTCAGGGGGGACCTTCTGGCTCTGCAACCCCCTGACAGGAGGGGGGAGCCGGGGGGGGTCGGGCTCTGCTCCCAGGGAACAAGGGACAGGAGGAGAGGGAACGGCCTCAGGCTGTGCCAGGGGAGGCTCAGGTGGGACATCAGCAGGAATTTCTTTATGGGAAAGGCTGTCAGACATTGAGAGGGCTGCTCAGGAAGGTGGTGGAGTCCCCACCCCTGGAGGTGTCCGAGGAAGGACTGGACTTGGCACTGAGTGCTCTGGGCTGGGGGACAAGGTGGGCATCGGGCACAGGGGGGACTCGATGGTTTTGGAGATACTTTCCAATGTCAATGACTCTGTAATCCCCATGGGACAGTGGTGGGATGTGGTGTGGAAGCTCTGCTGTGAGGAGTGTCTGACAGACTGGGGATGTCTCTTGTCACTCACGGTGTCCTTTGTGTCCCCAGGGCCCCCCCCGCTGCTCCTCACTCCAGGCCCCCATCATGCTGCTCTCAGGGCACGAGGGGGAGGTTTATTGCTGCAAGTTCCACCCCAACGGCAACACCCTGGCCTCAGCTGGATTCGACAGGCTCATCTGTGAGTGTCCCTGCTGTCACTGCTGCCCCCTGGGCTGGGCTGGGCTCACCAGGCTCAGGACACGATGCTGAGGGGTTTTAGCTCAGCCCTCATCTGGCTGAGTCCTGTGCATGAAGGGTTTCCCCAGGAGAGGTTCAGGAAGCTTTTCCCAGGGCTTCCCCAGGAGGGCTGCAGGAAGCTTTTCCCACCTCTTGTTTCTCCAAGAGTGGTGCAGAAGGTTTTACCCAGCTCCTGCTTCCCCAGGATGGGTTCAAGAGGCTTTTCCCAGCTCCTCCAGCTTCCTGAGGAGAGGTGCAGGAAGCTTTTCCCAACTCCTCCAGCTTCCTCAGGAGAGCTGCAGGAAGCTTTTCCCAGGACTTCTCCTGGAGAAGTGCAGGAGGCTTTCCCAGGACTTACCCAGAAGGAGTGCAGGAAACTTTTCCCTGCTCCTTTGGCTTCCCCAGGAGGGCTCCAAGAGGCTTTTCCCAGCTTCTCCAGCTTCCTGAGGAGGGTTGCAGGAAGGTTTTCCTACCTCTTCTGGCTCCCTAGGAAGGGTACAGAGGATTTTTCCAGCTCCTCCAACTTCACTAGAAGGGCTGCCGGCAGCTTTTCCCAGGACTTCCCTGGGAAAAGGTGCAAGGGGTGGAGGTGCAAGAGGCTTTTCCCAGCTCTCTGCTTTCCCCAGGAATGCTGCAGGAGGCTTTTTCCAGCTCCTCTGGCAGGTCACTGTCCCAATGGGGCTGGAAATGTCTTGCTGGGCACAGCCCTGTGTCCCCAGGTCCCTCACAGAGGTGACAGGACTCTGCAGAAATGCAGAGTTTAATGCTTGGGGTTGCTGAGGGGAAGATTATTACTTTTCTTAATGAATTCACCTTAATCAAGACCCCTAAATCAGCTCAAGGCATCTCTGTCCTGGGGCTCTCACGAGCTGTGAGTTATCCCAGACTGGAGGCAGTGGTGGGGATGGTGCATCCTTTGTTTTGCTGAATTCCCAGAGAAGGGCTCCGTGCCCAGCAGGGAGCTGTTCCCAGGTTTCCTGTGCTCACCTGTGCCTCCCTCTCCCCCAGTGCTGTGGAATGTCTATGGGGACTGTGACAACTTTGCCACCCTGAAGGGGCACAGCGGGGCCGTCATGGAGCTGCACTACAACACGGATGGCAGGTGGGGACAGGGGGCTTGGGGCCTTCCTGCTGCTCAGAGTCCCCTCACTGAACATCAGGGGGAAGGGGCTGGAGAAGCAGGAGCAGCTGAGGGAGCTGGGGGGGCTCAACCTGGAGAAAAGGAGGCTCAGGGGGGACCTTCTGGCTCTGCAACCCCCTGACAGGAGGGGGGAGCCGGGGGGGGTCGGGCTCTGCTCCCAGGGAACAAGGGACAGGAGGAGAGGGAACGGCCTCAGGCTGTGCCAGGGGAGGGTCAGGTTGGACATCAGCAGGAATTTCTTCCTGGAAAGGGTGGTCAGGCATTGGCAGGGGCTGCCCAGGGAGGTTTGGAGTGCCCAGCCCTGGAGGTGTCCCAGGAAGGCCTGGCTGTGGCACTCAGTGCTCTGGGCTGGGGGACAAGGGGGGCATCGGGCACAGGGGGGACTCGATGGGCTGGAAGGTCCTTTCCAACCTCACTGATCCTGGGATTGTTGCCTTTGCTCAATCCATGGACTGCAAATCCCTGTAACGTGGCTTTCCCAGATAAGGATTGGTGCCTGCCTGGTGTGAGCAAAGTCACCTGTGACCCAGCAGTGCCCTTGATTCAGTCCTGAGGAACAGAGGGAAGTTAGTTTGGGGCATCTGTGAGACACTGGGGAGGGAGAGAAAACAAGTGAGATGCTGGTTAATTTAAAAGGCTTTTCCACTATTGCATCTGAACTGCTGCTGCTGAGCTTTCCTGCTGTGTTCATCCCAGAGAGCTTTCGGGGAGGCAGGAAAACAATTTAGGAAGAGAGATTCTTCTCCCACCGGTGATTCCCGGCTTTGAGCACGGTAAAAGAGGTGTGAGGGGGAGCAGTGCTGGAGGAGCTGAGCCCCTCACAGTGTCTCTTGCCCACAGCATGCTCTTCTCAGCCTCCACGGACAAGACCGTGGCCGTGTGGGACAGTGAGACCGGGGAGAGGGTGAAGAGGCTGAAGGGCCACACGTCCTTCGTGAACTCCTGTTACCCGGCCCGCAGGGGCCCCCAGCTCGTCTGCACCGGCAGCGACGACGGCACCGTCAAGGTCAGCGTGTCCTGAGCCACCTGAGATCAGGGAAATAGTCTCTGCACTCTGGGTACAGAGGGGTAGAAAGCAGCTCTCTCGTTAATTAAGGCCTCGAGGTGCACAGAGGTACGATGCACCCCCCACAGCACGAGCTTTTTCCAGGTCAGTGTGTCCTGTGTCACCTGAAATCAGAGAAATAATCTCTGGACAATTTGAGTGTAGACAGGTAGAAAACAGTTCTTTGATTAATTAAAGCCTTAGGTTCACAAAGATATAATGCACAGGCTTTTTCCATTTTTATGGGGATTGTGGGTTCCAGTCCCATCTGGGGTGCCAAAAATGACACTGAAAAGGAGCAGAAACAAACTTCTTAAGCCCAATTTGTAGATGTTAATTCAGGAGGAGAGCTCCTCTAATCCTCTAATGCTCCTCTGTGGAGGATCACCAGATAATTGTAAAATAATCTTATTATTGTCAAAATGCCAATGACAAGTGGGCAGGGCTTTTTATTACACACGCTGTTTACGGATTCATTAGATATTGTCTCTTAATTAATACATATTCATTGGTTTGCTTTTCATAGTCACACCCCTATTGGAAGTCTTTCTTTGGTCCTTCCAGGCCTTCTTTATTGTCTTGACCTCAATTCTTGAGCTCTGGAAGAATTTTTTGGGTCTTATCTTTTAATTCAGCCTTATTCATAACATTTCATTATCTTATAACTTCGGCTTCAGAAGTAAACATCACAAAATTTGGCTGCTCCTTTTGTTCCTTAATTCTTTTGGAGGGTCATAAAGATCCACCTGCTGAGTTGTGCTTTTTCTTCTGATCTCGTTTAACAAAAGCCATTCCCAAAATCTCCTTCCCTCCCCTCGTTCCTGTGCTCCAACCACACCAGATTTAATTATTTTAAGGGAAGGGACCTTAAAGCTCATCTTGTTCCATGCCCCTGCCACGGGCAGGGACACCTTCCACTAACCCAGGTAGCTCTAAGCTTTGTTTTTACAGAGATCTCCTGAGATCTCAAAGGGGATTTCAGGGGAGCAATCTGAGTCTCTTCCAAGTCCTTGTGCGTGATTTTGTTGCTAAATATCCATATTTATGTTAAATATCCATTTTTCTACGACTGCCACGTCTTTGCAGCTGTGGGACATCAGAAAGAAAGCTGCTGTGCAGACATTCCAGAACACCTACCAGGTGCTGGCTGTCACCTTCAACGACACCAGCGACCAGATCATCTCTGGAGGCATCGACAACGACATCAAGGTAGGACCCTCTGTGTCCCCGGGTCCCCCTCCCAGTGCCCACCTTGGGAGCCTGCTGGTTCATTTTCCATCCCCAGAGCCCCTGCACAGGCTCTGTCCAACCTCACTGCTGACACAGGGCCAATAAACTGGGCTCCAGGGAGCTGCCACGTGACAGGCTGGGCAGCCCTGGC